GAAGAGCATGCAAAAACCTCATGCCAGCACAATTTCTCCAGGTTACTCACTGCTCTAGCCCACCTGTGGCAAATTTGTTGTTCTGTAAAACTAAAAGTCTAATGATCACCTGGTACTGAACAAATTCAATGTGATCTACAAGGAGGTGGCAACTTGAAAAATTTTGTATATCGACCTTCCTACTAATTTTTTTTAACAAGCATTTAGCCAATCCTTGCAAAGAGAATCAAAACATGATCCACAGAGTTAGTCAACCCCAAATAATAATTAGCCTTGAGGCACCTCACTAGAGTATATTTTATGCTTTGGGTACATTTTCAGTCTCTGCTTTTTGTGGTATCACAAAATTTGAGAATAAGCCAAAATGAAGCTAACACTATCGGCACACTCACATTTCCTTAATGCTAAACAAGGTGCCCGAACTCCCTATGCATGTTGTTCAAAGTCCTGTAGGAACTTAAATGTAACATAAAAAAAATAACTCGTGACCATTTTTTTAAGGGCTTATCTCCCCTGATTTCTAAGTAACGCTGTCTATCGCATTTATTCATTGGAACTCCCCCTGCTCTGGGATCAGAGAACCCATATAGCGATCTGATTTTCCTTCTCCTTCGCTGATCAGTTTCATTGACTGGCTCCTTCTTCCTGTCTCTCTGCCTGAGAATGGCCAACAGAATTTAGTCCTCTCCTTCCTGGGGACATACACCATTAAAAAAAATCCTCCTTCCTCACACCGTCATCTTCCTCTGAATGCTGACAACTCCCATCTTCTCATGAAACTCTGAGTCCCATATTTTCAAACTGTTCAAATATCTTTTTCCTCGCTTATCCCAGTATTATCTCGCTCATGTGTACCAAACCGAACTCAACTTACTTCTCAAATTGACTGCTCTTTCCGACCTGCCATTAAAAGAAATGTCTTTATCCAGGTTCTTTAAGCTCAAAACCCAATGAGTTTTGATTCATTCTTTTCAATCTCCACCATCACTCTGGCCCCAAGTCCTTCCCCCTAACCAAGTATCCGTTCCCCTGCCCTATTCCTACTATTACCACCTCTAGCGGACTTCTTTCCTCTTTCTCCCTCTCACAATCTATCCATGAGGCCATATTGCTATACTGCTATGAGATCAATATTTTCAAAATGTGGTTTTCATATCACTTATCTACTCAGAGAAACACCTGTTTAGGGTCCCTCCAGGTTGTGGAAACTACAAAAAGCCCATAAACTGTTCTACTTGGCCTTGAGGCTACTAATAACCTGGCTCCTAACTTAATGTCCTAACTTAAGTCCTCCAATTTCCCAAATCAGACCTTTACTCCGAGCAGGATCTCCTCATTCTCTTCTACTCATCACTCTCTTTCTCACCTCTCCTTTCCCTCGAGCTATTTTTATGAAAATTACTAACGATAGTTTCCTTTTCTTTCACCGAACAGGTGTAGTTCAAATCTTACTCCTCTCAGTGTAGAAATTTCCTACATAGCTACACATATTCTAAAATGTCCGTGTCATTTAATTGAAACATGTGAGTTACAAGATGCTAGAAAAACAATGAGGAATAAACTCCCCACCCCTGACGAGCTTATAGTTTAGAGGAGAACGAATAAAAATATCAATCTATTTCCAATTCTATGTCAAAACAGAGATGGAGGCAGAACCAAGATGCTGTGAAAACCCAGAGAGGCATTTAATCCGGCCTGGGCATTTGGGGGAATGTTCCCCAGAGGAGCATATGTCTGAGCTTAGGCTCGCAGGACAAATAAGAGTTTGCCAGGCAATTCTCATCTTGCCTCCATCTACAAACACTTCATGCTTGCATGTTTTGGCTTCTTTACAGGCTTTACTTGTAAACTCTGAAGGTTGACTGTATCTGTGGGGACTGTAGCTTATGTAATTAGTTTATACTTTCATAGCACCTAGCAAAATAGTGGATACATCACAAATATTTGTTATTTAACTGCCATTTTTACAAGAAAATAGATATAAAATATATCTGAGCATAATTTCTACTACGACAGGAAGGTTGTGATACCAGTGAGATCAACGTGAGACACTATATAAAAAGAAATGTACCGAAACTCTCACTTTGCTGCTGGCTTTTAAAAAGTTGATTCTGAAAAATAATTATGAATCTCCAAAAATAAAATCTTAGTTAGTGGCATAGGTAACAATGTTGCGAGTGTGTAATTTTTAAATACTCACAGCAAACAAGCAAAATCAAGTTAGAATTTGGTATTATTAACTAGTGTTGATTTATAAAATTTTGTTTTTTTGCTCTTACAGGTAAAATCCCATTACAATGAATATATAGAAATCCATCTTTTAATATCTGTGAGCTGTTTCCATGATCTCTGGGAATGATTCACAGAAACTAATACGTGGATCTTAACAAATCCTATATACAATTTTTTGAAAAAGGTGCTTTGTATGTTCCTAGCATAGTAAGTTACTTTTTAGGTAAAATTTTTTTGTTATAAAAATAATGCTTAATATCAAATAATCTTGCTAAAAAAATCTTTCACATCTACTATGCTATTCTCCCCCACAGTTATACTGCAAATTAAGATAATAAATATACCTAGTATCATTAGTTGCCACAGCTGTTAATGGCAGAGACAGGCTTTCTATCACTATTTTCTGGCTCCACCTCTCACCATTACCCCAAGACTTCCAATTACTCAATATCACGTTAAAATACCTTAGAGGAAGAGAGGTGTCTTGGAGCAGGCATGGAGATGACAGGAAAGCAGGGATTTGCGAAAAGTTTTCCATTATCTCTGCTCTAGCACTAAAATCCATACACTTCTTTCTACTTAAAAATGTATAAAGTCAAGGCTTGAGGTAAACTCAGCTTCATTGGTAGATATGAAAATTCCAAAATTTCATAGCTTTTAGCAATATATTTGATTTCATCAAATTTCACTAAAGCCCAATTTGTATTTTCCATAGAATTTACTATATTGGGATTTTACCTGTACGATTAATTTCTCACACAGATCCAAAGCAACCACAACACACTCACTGCAATGGAATCGTTTTGCTTTCAAAATCTTCTAGTAGTAGGTATTCCTCTCCTTCTTCAGAAACAAAAGATGACCCTTGGCTGGTTTATAATCACATAAGAAATGGAGCAAGATCACCATTTATAAATCAGTGAAATCTGTTAAGCAAGTTAATACTGTGAGTCTGTAACAAGGGCTACGAAACAGGAGACAGGTTTCCAAAAGAGCCTTTTATTACAAGTGTTCTTTGCCCAAAAGATGCTAGAGAATGTGTTTCTTCAATAAAACCTCCCGAATATCAGAAATCATTAGTGGAGGAATATAAACCTTATTATAAGCCTAAATAGATGTTTTTTTTTAAGCTTTCCAATCAGGGTTAAAAAAAGTTTAAAGGTATGATTCCTAAATGTACACACACGCACGTGTAGACACGCACACACACACACACGGGCATATGTGTGTTTACCTGGTGGGTTCAGGCTTCTTGCTTTGACAGTTGATTAGCAAGAGGTAGTCTTGAGGATCCTCCTGGATGCCAAGAGTTTCCAGATGTGGTGGAAGGTTAATCAGCTGATATGGAGGCGGTGGAGCCACAGATGATGAATCCGCCTGGGCGGATGATGGCACGGTATTTATGGCCATAGGTAAATCCGCTGGTGCTTGTGAGGAGCTGCCGGGGGGCTTCATGGGATCTGCAACGCCAAAGTGTAACTATCACTCTCTGTCCTCTTTTAAGAACTATTTTCTTAAAGCTACTTGAAAATTTGGAGATAAACTGTTTAAACGCATGACCACAGGAGAAACCACGACCTTGTCAGTTAAAATGAGTGCGATCTCAATGGCAACATTTATGCAGGAAATAATAGGTTCTTGTCAAAGAGATTTGAAGAGGAGGGCTTCTGCATCCAGGGGTTCTAAAACACCCATGGTTAACCTTGCCTTGAACGGTCTCTAGTTTTGAGGTTCCTGGGAAAGAAGATGCTCTATAATCTTAGCATGAGAGGCAGATTTTTTTCCCGTGATGATTTACTGCCTCTCAGCCAAGCCGGCCTTCCAAGGGGACCCACAGAATCCCACGGCACCTTAAGGCCTGTGGTGCCGAGTATGAGGGTCAGCTCTTGACCCCGTCTTTATCCTGCTGTTTGTTCTTTTCTTTCTACTTCTCAGCTACTAGGGAGAAATATTTCTTCTTCCGGGATTCACATTTTTTTAAGGCACCACCTCTTCTCTCAGCTCACTTGCCCTTTATTGGGTTTCTGCAGTATTTTCATGCAAAAGGGGTCAGCAAATAAAGAAGTAATTTATTAAGTACTTAACTATGTTCTGAGAAGGCATTTGAAAATAGCTAAATTGTGTAGAACCAAAGAATTGAAATGAGTTGAAAACCTAAGAGTAAAATCCCACGGTAGTCACTGACACAACCAAGTAAAAATTTAAGGGTCCAGAAGAAAAAGTATCTGTTAGTCTGGTTAGGAAAACATGGCTCTAAATCCAGTAAAAGGTAAATTCTCATAAAAGAATAAACAAATTTATTTATTGTCTATTTATATTAGACCATATAAATACTATTAATGTAATAATTCGTATTCTCATCATTATATTAATATGCTCTACCAAGTAAAATCAAATGCAAGTCATCTGACCTGTTAATTCACCAGGGAGTAGCTACGTGTCAGCTCTGTCTCCTCTAGATACATTATAGAATACGTCTACATGCTTTGGATCATGTCTTCATGAATTCAACTTTAATATTCATATGTTACTGCAGCAAAGTTTCCATAGCTCATTTTATAATTTCTTCCTAGATACAGAAACTCGTATCCCAATTGTAAAGCTTGAACAACACATAATATGGCTACACATGACAGTTTATCTTTAATTGTGGGTCCCCAGAACAAACGAAAAGGACCATACTCCTATGCTTCACTGTGCCTAACATGTGGTAGATGCTCAAAGTGTTTCAATCACCCAGCAGAAAGTCACTTAGCACTTTCTCTATGTCAGGTTGAGAGATTACAGCAACGGGCACACTCCCAAATCTGCAAGACCCACTCACCTGTATACACAGTTTGAAATTTGCTCACAAAAAGAAATTTGTGAGCCCTAATAAATGCTAATTAACTTTTAACACTTCTTTTGGTTGGAGAATTTTGTCTGAGTGAACAGAAGCTGAGCTAATTTCCATTTTATCTCTGTTATGTTGCATGCAATGTCAAACCTTCATACAAGCTTATCTCACAAAATCTAACACTTTACGGCAGGAGTTAATTAACTCTTTTCTTATTTATGAAAGGTGAGAACAGAAAATGGTAAGAATAAAAAAATGTATTTTTGGACATTTTTACAACATAATGCCATAATTTCAGTGGGAACTTATAAATACCTCATCATGTCTAATAGATATTGATTTTAAATAGTTATATAATAAACACTATGAAATATTTTATTGCTTTGATTGAGTTGCAAATATACAAAGACTGATTTAAGGGGATTTAAAATGCCATAGATGAATCAGTGACTCAGAGTAAATCCTTGAGATTTGCTAAACTTAAGGGAAATCATGAAAACTATTTACCTTTAAAGAAGAGCTTAAGAAAAATCCATACATTGAGGAAAAAAAGAGCAGAGGGATTAAAATGCAGTTTCTGTGTCTTACAGGCTGTATTCATAAGTATATTTTATATACTTCTCCAGTTCAAGTTCTAGTTCTGACCAAAACAAAATGAAATTAAACACTGGAAATACATCACTATATAAAACAGTATGAATTCTAATTTTCCACTGTAACTCCTAGAATAACTTTTCCAGGTGGATGTTTTTATAGATACACTTTTCCTTTAATTTTTTTTTTTCTAAATTTGATGGCTATACACTAAGTAAACTGAGTGATTCGTCTTAAGTGGGGGAAAAAAATCACCCAGCCAGGCAATCACGTTTGTCTGATCTTGTTTTCTTAACACAATGGGACTGTCTCATTTTTAATCTTCCATTTCTCCCAGCCATGAACGATGAATGTTTTTACCCTCTTTATAGCTACAAAATTCTCTCCGTTTTCTAAAGAAAGGACTGGGATTATTTTTTAAAGCCTTCTTTAAAACATATATACCTCGTTCACAGTATGGGAAGACTTACGTATATAGTTGATCCTTGAACAGCATGGGGTTAGAACTGTGGAAGTCCACTTATACGTGGATTTTTTTCAATAAATATATATTGGCCCTCTGTATTCCCACATTCAACCCAGAGTGGATCAAAAACAGTATTTTTCCATCTGGATGCAGAGGGCCGATTTACACATTGTTCTACACTATTTTAACGAGGAACTTTTACATGAGGTCCTGGAACCAATCCCCGGCAGATACCAAGGGACAATTGAGTTTTTGAGGAGTCAAAAGTTATACTTGAATTTTCGACCGCCCCTAACCCTCCACATTGTTCAGGGGTCAACTTGGCAAGAACTGGTAATGGAGAGAAACTTCCATTATGTTCACTGGCAAGGTCATGAAAGAAAAGGCTTTGGAACATCTGTGAAAAGCAAGCCCGACCATTCCAAACAACACGATGTACAAAGGTCTTTAAAAGGGAAAGGACACTGTTCTACCACTTTGGCTCAGATAATGCACTATTTTCAAAGTTTTAGCCTTTGGGATTATTTTACTCATGTTAATTTGACTAGATGCTCAGTTCTGCATATTTTAATGCAAGCGTTGCAGTGTGTCTAAATATTCTCTAACATAAAATTTCTGGTCAAAGTTAGCCAGTCATCTGAAGAAGGACACTTTTCTTCACCTTACAAAAAACATGCGATTTGCCCCTATTCTATGCCACAGGTAGCTCAGGGGACCATGTTTGTTGTTTTCTGCCTCACTTGGGCTTCTAAATTACTGCTCTTTCTAAGTAATGTTTTCATCAAGTTTCTGAGAACGGTCTACGGCCATGCCCCCCTGAATGTGCCCAATCTCGTCTGATCTTGGAAGCTAAGTAGGACTGGGTCTGGTTAGTATTTGAATGGGAGACCACCTAGGCAGACTAGGTGCTATAGACGTAAAAAAAAAAAAAAAAAAAAAAAAAAAAAAACTAAAACAAAAAACAACAAGTTTCTGAGAATGAAAACATCAGTTTAGGGTTTGCTTATGTATGTGAAATTATTTCCTAACTTTTAATTCAGAAGGCATGAAGAGTAAATTAGCATCCATTAAAAGGCTAATAAAGCTGCTGGAGCAAACTACTAATTGAGTTTTACTTAAAAAACTATTAAATACTGCTAAGGAAAGCCTTAACCAGCTTTCTGTGGAGAGAAGTAGATTATTATGTGAGGAGAGCCACAAATAACAAATTGGCTCATGTGATCCCTAGCTTTAATGCACAGTTTTATCCTATTTGGAACCATATTGCCCTGGTATTAACGTCCCTAACAGAAGCTGGGGTGCCCAAATAATGCCTCTAAACATTCAAAATAACATGTTTTCCCCTAACCAAACAGCATAAGAGCTTAAGTCCTGGGAAGCAGTTCTCTTTCTTATTGGTAAGGTGGAATATTTCAAAACTGATGTGATAGGTCCGCTGATTTTGTAACTCCTAACATCCCCTATCTGAGCCTGCAGTAATAAAACTCTGGTCTTTGATGTTTGTGTCCTTGTCAGGAGACTAGATGAGATGCTTTTCTCTGAAAATGGTCTATATTCGTGGACAGAATATTTTTTGGTTTCTAATATGAAAGTTTTACCATTACATTCAAAATTAAATGTTCTGTTATATTAACTTTTTTTTTCTGTAAAGAGAAGTATTTTGAATAGATCTATGTCTACTAATTAACTTAGCGAGTAACAGTCCATAAAGACCATGTGGTGTCATTGATGATACAATAACCATCTTCTCACTTCTGAACACACCATTTTTTTTTTTATAAAATAACATTTTATAAATGGATACAAATGAGAAACAGCAATAGTTGTAATTTTCAGTGATGGAACCTGCAGTTTCTTTATTTAATCAAATAATGAAGACATTTAATCACAGCCAACCTATTTAATGTGTTTCAAGTAGAAAATTTTTTATTTGTCTTGACTATCGCCTTAAGAGTTTGTGAAAACTTTCTTGGAGACTTTGAAAATAAACCCTTAAGAAGTGCTGACAATTGCCTTAATTCGTATCCAGAGGTGTCATGGCCTCAGAATCACTTGTGGGGCATTTTAGAAATCTAGGTGCTTAGGAGACTCAATGCATCAAGATTTAGGGGCAGCAGTTTAAAAATGTATAATAAAACTAAACAAACTCTGGTTGAAACGGTCCTCAGGAAAAAATGCAAATTAAAACCACAACGAGATACCATTACACACGCCCTAGAATGGCTAAAATTAATGACCGACAATACCAAATGTTGATAATGCAGAGTAACTGAAAGGCTCATATGCGGCTGGTAGGAAAGCAACTGCTACAATAACTTTGGAAAACTAAAGCTACTAAATCTACTACAGCTGACCAGATATACTACGGCAATTCCACTCATGGGTATATTCCCCAAAGAAATAAGTGTTCATGTCCATCAGAAGACACATATTAGAACGTTCACAACAGCTTTACATGTATTAACTAAAAAGTGAAAACAACTCAAAGGTCCATCAACATTCAAACAGATCGTAATGCTCCATAGGATGAAGAACTTCTGCTCCATGCTGCATGGATGAATCCCGCAGACTGAATATTAGACAAAAGAAGCCAGACTCAGGGTTTTATTTATATGAAGTTCAAGTATAAGCAAAATTAATCTATAGTGTTAGAAGCAAACTAATGGTTATATTTGGGTGCTTTTTTTCTTCTGAGCTTTTATTGGGAAGAAGCATGCGAAAACCTTCTGGGGTACCGAAATTTTTCCATATTTTGATATGAGTGATAGTTACTGGATTTCTATTTCTATGTATAGAGAGAAGGATATATAAAACTATATTTAGTTGTACACTTAAGATCCGTGCCTTTTACAGTAGTAAGTTATACCTGAATTTAAAAAAAGCAAATAAAAAGAAATTTAAACATTCCCTAATTAAGAAGTACTGCTCCGTAGGAAAAGGAGCATATGTATATTCTTACATGCTAGCGATACTTTTCTAAAGGGAAGAAAATCAAACATAGAATCACACTACTTTTTTTTAAGTCACTATTATTTGGGCATTTTGAGAAAAGCAACTCAACTGATAAGAGGCAACTTTCTAATCTTGAACTTAGACCAAGAGCCTTTACATCAAGTTCGTTAGCTGTATCCAACCCTTAGGCTGTGCTTCTGGGCACTTGGTTGGCAGATTTAACAGCTTCCAAGTTGGTGTAGAAACAAAAATAAATCTGCACATTTCCAAGAAAAACAAAAGAAATTAGTTTTGACCCTCAAGTCTACTAAATTAAAGTGTTCGCAGGAACCACACACTGTTCAATGAGCTAAAATCTGAAAACAGATCCAGCCTGCCAGCATTCTGAGTATTCAATAATAGCAGCGGTCACCTGGAGCAGCGGAAATAACATGGTAAAGATATTCTGAGAGGTTCCTGGAATCAAAACACAGGTCAGATTTTTCCCCTTTCCTTTTGTTTTCAGGAGAAAATTAGTTATTCTCATAGGGATTGAGGATAGTTATTTTCTCAGACCGTAATACACAAGCACAGTCTATTTCTTCCCACGTCTAGTCTGAAACTCGTCTAATGAAATATCATTTCATGTTATTAGTTTTAAGCCAAGAATGGGAGCATATTCAGCTCTCTGAAATGGAAAGGCACAGGGCTCAGGGGGACAGATCTAGGTAAAAACAAAACACCTATTTTGTGATTGGCACTAAGATCTATTGGGAAGCAAGAGAATATAAAACAGGCAGTAAAGTGACTGAGAGAACAAAGACTTTTTGATATTTTCCTTATTATACTAAACTGTATGAATGTGATCACAAAGGATAATAGCAGTTCTCAGAGGTTTAGCATTTGATAACAAATCCTTAAATGTGTGGATTTTTTAAAAAAAGGCATGCAGTAAACTCAACTACAAATGAATAAGGAAATAGAGTGGTTAACTTTAAAGTTCTGTAGTTTTGCTACTATGCATCAAAAACCAAAATTATAGAGTGAAATAAAATATTTTTGTGGTTCTTTGATACTACACAATGAAGGATTGCTCATCTTTTAACGATTTATTCCAAGAAACTCAAGTCTTCGACATAGTATAGTAGGACATTTCTAACTGCGGCTACTTGGGAGATGGCCAGGACGAACTTGTGGAAAATTGTTGAACTGCAGAATTTAAAAAATAAATGTAGTCGCATTTAGATATAGCTCACGAACTAAATTTAGAAAGCACTGACAAATTTCAGTCCTTAGGGGCTTGTTTTAATGAACAGATAAAAATGACTTTTGATTAGCAGAGCTGTTCTTGATAACTAACTCAGATTACATAAATTAAGTTTGATGAATCAAAATATTAATTTTCTTCCAACCTCCCCTTTTATGGATATTGTGAAGACATAAAGCTCGCATATTGAGAGTTTCACGCAAGGCAAATAAACTTCTAATCTGTTTTGTAAGAATTTGGGAGTTTTGCCACTGAAAAGGTCACTAGCTTTCAAGTTTCAGAACCCCCCACCCTCATACTAGTAAGTTTATAAAGTGAAAAGAGACACTGTGATGAATTCTGACTACTAATATCAAAGAAAATGTTCTAAGTACAAAAATAAAGTTCTCATGATCAGTTATAGTCACAGCGTCATTTAAAACTACCTACTCTTTTCCTGACCCTCTTAAGAATAAATCAGCTGCCATCAGGCTTATTTATTTTCTATCAGAGCACTTATCAACCAGTGTATAATTCCTAGATATTTGCCTGTCTCCTACTAGACTGATTACAAGTTCTACGGAGGCAAAACTATTTATATGCTCCCATAGTATCATACTTCAATAAATATATATTATATAAATTAAATATATATTAAGTATAATTTTATATATATGTATGTGTTACCTATATGTTACACTCATCAACGACTGTGATGAATTATTTTGGATATGAATCTTCTCCTATTAGATGCTCTGTTCCACGTATGTAATGTTCATCATTTGATCCCCTAACCAGTGTCGCTGAACATACATTGGTTGAGTAAATGCCCAAAGCCTAAGCAGCATGGTGGCAAATTCAAAAAATTTCATAAATTATTGAAACGACTTCTTAAAGCAGACAAAGCTTTTCTTCTTCCCAGAGCTGACCGGGTGTTCATCAAGCTCCCAGATGGTAAGAATCGTGGACGAATGGACCAGACTTCATGCCGTAAAACTTGCAAAGTTATCTGAGACACTCGAACATTAGAAGTTCTTGTTTTGGGGGTCTCAACTCTACTCGCCCACTAATGGACTTCCAAAAATTAGACCCTCACATTCCTTGACTGACGGACGTATCACCTCTAAGAAAGAGCATCTCATTTCTTTTCTTAAATATATTCAGGAGAATCATAAAGAAAACAAAAGCAGACAGAAGGACACCTACTTAGTCTTTTATATTAGCTGAATCTATACAAGCAACCAACAGGGACAGAAGTCTGCCTTTATGTCCCCAAAACAAATTCTAAGTTGAAAAGGTAGCAGGCAAAAGAACAACATCAACAAAAAGATGATACAACAACTAAAATTATTTTAACTGAAAATTCATCACATGACAAAACTAATGCGATGTCTAAATCCAATAATTATTATTACCGAGTGGTTATTAAGTAACCATTAAATAGGAAGCTATCTCATTTGAGACTTTAACTTTAAAATCCCCCACTGCACTCAAATATAGATGATACATGCGAACAAGAAAGGAAAGAAGTTTAATTGGAGTTAGAAATAATACCCCACACCTACTTAAAATGTGAGCATATTTAGTAACTTCACAAAAACGACTGAAGCCTTAATGCTCTACATGAAACAATTTTTCGAGGCTTTTAATCACTAGCGCTCTGTTAAAGAGCTTTAATTCATTAGCTGCCTCCTGTCTAAACTGGATGCCCCCTTCCCTCTCAGTGCTGCTCCCTTGGAGATTCTGGGTTCCTCACCAAGGGGTTTCCCCCAGCCCACTGGGCCAATCCCAGGCCTGGAAGGCCCTTCTCCTGGACTGTGTACTGGCCAGAGCGGAAGCAGCATGCTGACCTGAGCTAATTAGAGATGATTACTGTTTCGCTTCAGTCCAAAACTTGATGTTGATTGTTAATTTAGTTTTTCCACACTGCACTGAGCACTCCTAAATATAGATATTTGGAAATGTACACTTGCAAACACAAGTATAACTATGACAATAATAAGGTCAAAGACCTTATTCCTGATCCTTGGCTCTGCAAACCTAAATTTGTACTAGAGTCCCCTACGTAGGTTCTTAGTGTTTGCTTAAAAAAAAAAGAAAAGTAGAGAAGAGGGCAGGGGAGACGCTGTCAGGATAGCTATAGGAAGGCACCTGGGGAGGAATTTCACTTGTAAAATTCTTCTTGAGACCTGTAATCACTCAGCTCTTCCCAAGAGGGGCACCCCAAATCTCAGATCCTCAAGCAATTCTCCCCTTGCGTTTATCATTCATGGCCCTCTGCTCCAGGCACACAGAATTCTGTGCCACCTCTGGGTCCTTCCTCTCCCTAATCCCTAAGGCTGGGGGGTTCTGCACTCCTTCCTTTATTTATGCAGAAATACGACTTTCTTCAAAACTCCACAATCGCCAATTTGTCTTCTTCTGAGGAGCTTTCTTCACTAACTCTTATCCAAATCCTGAGACCCCTCTTCCTCTGTGCTCTTTTTAGGACCTCTGTGTTAAGTAAATGCAGTTGTTTGTTACCTTTTCGTCATGTTTTGTGGCTGATTCTCATATGTTTTTCAAAGGTATTGATAATTACCTTGGCTATTTTGTAACTTCAGAATCCAAGATAGGTTTAAAAATAACGTCTAAAGAATTAAGCTGAGCCACATGAAAATGCTGTTTTTAAGAGGTCAAAAACAGTCAAATATCAGTTGTGTTATAAGGTTCAACTGAATATTTATATAGGAACTCAAGAAATTCTCTTAAATAGTATGTTTTCTTGCAACGTCTCCTTCAGGACATTTAGACACTGCTCCACAATGGTTAACTTTTTCTTTCTAAAACTATAAATAGTTTCTCCCCATACTGATTAAAGGGTTTAGTTGCTTTTTCCACATGTTACTATTATAAAAAACCCAAAATATTGTATTGCGTAACTGAAATAAAGAATTTTATAACAGTTCTAAAACGTAGTAATAAAAGAGAAAGGCTGAATAACAAAATCTTGAACTTACCTTCTTCTGTAGGATTAAACCCACAGATGTCACAAATACAACGAACCCACTTATTCATCTCTTCCTCACTGTCTGCTACCAAGTAGAAAATTCGATCAATGGTGTTGATATCAAAAATGTAGCTGTTTTCAAACTCTTTTTTGTTAAATGTCAATCCAGCATCAACTTGCTGACATAAATTTAAATCAATAATACGGATAGGCTTCTTGGCATGATCATTTTTGTAATATTCCAAGACATCTGGATCTCCGGTTAAACGGCCACTGCGTAACACGAACCATCGCCTCTTCCATGCCTAGAAACAAAACAGAAATATCCACCTAGTATTAATTTGAGAAAATTTTCAAGAAGATGCTCATTTAACGAATCAATTTGACAAATGCATTTATCTAGAGAAAGTCACTTCCCATGTTTTCTTCGTTTCTGTAGAATTATCTACCACTCCAGCAAAGTTTACTGATGCCCCAATTAACTTGATAATGTGTGTACCTACACATATTATTATTTGCTATTAGATCTTCTAATAAGGTATCAGAATATATTGTACTTGTTGATGAAATATCAAGTCAACAAAGGGAGATTTAGTTTTTACTAACTATGAAAAAGCAGTGGTTTCAACAAATGGTGCTAGGAAAACTAGATATCTATATACAAAATAATGAGGTTGAACTCTTACCTTACATCATATAAAAATTAACTCAAATGGATCAAAGACTTAGCGAAATGCAAGAGCTAAGATTATAAAACTCTTAGAAGAAAACATGAAGAAAAGCTTCATGACATTAGATTTGGCAATGATTTCTTAGATGTGACACCAAGAATACAGGAGACAAAATGAAAAATTGGTAAGCTGAATTACGGCAAAATTTACAACTCTTATACATTGAAGGACACAATCAGCAGAGTAAAACAGCAATTCACAGAATGGGAGAACATATTTACAAATCACCTATCCGATAAGAGAGTAATATCTAGAATACATTAGTAACTCCTACAACTCAGTAATAACAAAAATAAACCACCTAATTAAAAAATGGGCAACAAGACTTGAAAAGACTCTCCAAAGAAGGTATACAATTGTCCAATAAGCACACGAAATGATGTTCAATCGACATCACTACCATTAGAGAAATGCAGATCAAAACCACAATGAGATACCACTTCGTATTCATTAGAATGACTATTATCAAAAAAGCAGAAAATAACAAGTGTTGGCCAGGATGTGGAGGGATTGGAACCTCTGTGCACCGCTGGTAGAAATATCAAAGGGTGAAACTGTTGTGGAAAATGGTATGGCAGTTCCTCAAAAAATTTCGGTTGTGTGTATACATCCAAAAGAATGGAAAGCAAAGTCTTACTGGTATTTGTACACCCATATTCACAGCATCATTACTCACAACAGTCCAAAGGCAGAAGCAATGGACACATCCAAGTGTCCAATGATGAGTGAAAGATAAACAAAATGAAGTCTATACATACAATGGAATATTACTCAGCCATAAAAGGGAAGAATTCTGACACATGCTGCAACATGGATGAACCTTGAGACATTATGCTAAGTGAAAGAAGCCAGTGGCAAAGGGTCAAAAACTCTATGATTCTGCTTATATAAGGTACCTATAGGAATCAAATTCACAAAGGCAGAAAGCCAGGGGTTGGGGAAAGAGGGAGATGGGAAGTTAATGTTTAACGAGTACAGTGTCAGTTTGGAAAGATGAAAAAGTTCTGGAGATGGATGTTAGTAATGGTTACCTAACAATGTGAATGTACTTAATGCTACTCTACTGTCACTTAAAAATGATTCAACTGGTAGATTTTATGTTATGTATATCTTACCACGATTTTTTAAAGCAATATTTGTTCATGCCTTAAAATTATGCCATAAAGAATACGCATAAAAGAATATACATAAAAGTACTTCTTCAAAGACTCCTTCATATTTTAAGCAATGGGTCTCTCTCTCTCTCTCTCTCTCTCTCTCTCTCTCTCTCTCTCTCTCTCTCTCTCTCAGTGGGAACAAGGAGTCTGAGGGGTAAAAATGTGTGTAGAAGCTTTCTTGTTTTCTCACCTGAAAAGTAAGCAAAGAAATAGGATGTGTCTTACTTTTGGCCAGACTGCTGTTCAGACTACATGGATAAGAGCTGTATTCTTAAGTATGGGATACAACATTCTTTCAGTCTTTCTCTTCCCAACTAACATATATTGGCAATCTGGACCTATGTACTCCCTTCATAGTTTTGGGAATTTTGAGTTTAATACTATGCCTAAAGAAGCCTAAAATTCTTTTACTATTACCCTCCCTAAAATCTATGGTAATCGAATAACAAAAGCAGAACCAAATGCCTAAAACAGTCGGCTTCGGCAGCCTTTAAACCTAACATCTCTGCCCACGAAAAAAAATTAAGCCTTAGTCCTCTTCGAAGGTCTTCCTCAGCTGGCAGTCAGCTAGATCACAAAGACACTTATTTTAAGAAGTCTCAGTCATCTACAAAGAGGCATTCTCTACTTCAAACTGAACATGTGAAGTAAGATGGGACACTCCAGAAAGTGGAAGGACTGAGAAACATGACAATTTATGAACCCAAATGAAATCATATACTCTTATGATTTTGGAGATCATGGTGGAGAACCAGTCACACAACACCTCAATCCTTTATTTCTGGAAATAAAAACCATTCAGTTAATATATATCTATTTACTTCAAAATAAATAAATATCTTTTCTTAGTACAATCACGCCTTTATGGATACCTCCTTACCAAGCAAGCAGACAGCTTGAAAAAGTAATAGAGAAGTAAAAACAAAAAAATAAATATAGTATTATGTCGTTTACCCAAGGCCATCAAGGAATCATATTTTTTAGTAGGTGATTTCTCCAGATAGCGAAGCTTCTGTCTTTAAATACAGAAATGACTTTTTCAAACTTCAATGTTTCACATGGAAATCTTTCTAAAATGTCTTACTACGTAATTCATTGAGTATAATTCATCCATTCCCCAGTGATGAGGCTGGGTATTGTAGGCATTGGTTTCTATGCTGTACTTTAGTGAAGCTCTCAAAGAGTACTGGACTGTATAGATGGTCATTTGCCACCATACTAAATAGTGTCATACTGCTGTGCTTGCATAGATCATTTATAATCGTTTTGTCAACTGTCACTTCTCCTTTCTAATCAACGGTTTATAGGATGCCAAACTGTTTCCTGCCTCAAGGACTTTGCATAGGCCTGACTCTCACCTTCAGGCCTTCCCTTTCCTAACCCTCAACCCAACCACCCCGATGTAAAGCAGAGCATAGTTCTGGAAACTATCTTTATTTACCTATATAGTGATTTTTGTAATTCTGCAATTCAATTTTTCTTTGTGTTTACTTATTCAGTATCTAACACCCTAAGCAGACTGTAAAGTCCAAGAAGACAGTGACCATGTCTGCTTTATTTGCCACTGCACAGTCAATGCACGATACAGTACTTGGTACCTAGAAATATCTGTGCAATAAATAGAATTCCCCTGTGACTATAAAGTTGTCAAGTTTTTGAGAATATCAGATTAGCTATAAGGGCCACGCTGAACAGAAAGATGTGTTTTCAAAACCTCTTCCACTTGAGAAAAAGAACTCCAATACTGAACATATACATAATAAGGTAAATATGCCCAAAACACCTCGGGACAATGACAAAAAGAGAAAAGAACGAAACGTACCCTTTTGCTATAGCTCATGTGTCATTCTTTGTCTCTGGTTAACCGTGGCTTCCCCATCCATTTTATTGCTTCCTTGTTGAAATGACATTGTTAAAATTTAAAAGGCCCTTGGAAACCAAAATAAATAGCCAAGAAATGAGTAGCAATGAAGTTAGGTGCACTAGATAGATTCGGCTAGTGATTACAGAGGCCTGAGTAGACATAATATAAGAGATAAACCCTTTACAGCAGGAAATTACAGCATTAAAACACAGAATTTAGCCAAGCAGCACCTGCCACTTATTTATTTATTTTTAACATGGTCCAAATGTGAATGTTTGTCTCAGTCATAAAATGAGTCACTCTCATTGAATCTGGCACAGAATAAACTGGAAAACAAAAGCAATTACATAAACTACACACTTTAATAAGGCAGATACAAAGGTTCTCTGGATTATGGTACAAAGCACAATTTAGCCACAGAATAAAGCTTGATGCTCGACAAGAGAACTGACATCAGCACCCTTGCTAATCACAGCACAAAAGCTCCTCTGTGTTTTGTCAGAGCACAAAATGGGCGCACATAAATCAGTCTTTGTTATCTGAAAATATCTGGGATTCTTAAAGTTTGCCCTATTTTTATTCTTGCTGCCTTGGTAGCCCCAGAGAAAGCTGCACACTGCCTCACCAATCCCGCAGAGCAGTAAAAGACAAAAGAGACAAGTTTTCTGGAAACCTTCAAAACCAAGCACTCGAAGCAATTTTCAACAAAATTCATGTGAAAAATTATCTGACGAGCTGGTTTGCTTAGAAAAACTGCGCAAAGATTTGTGTTGTTGTCATGTCTTATAGGCATTAGCCGCTGCAATTTTAAGTTGAATAAGTGATGCAGTAATAAGACTTCATCAGCAGGTCTGCATTTTAAAGTAGCTTAAAAGCACCATACTCTGACACCAGTGTCGCATTTCAGGGTTTCCAGATTAACTTTGGCTACATTAGCATTAAAACAGAACAGCATGAATAGTCCTCGATCCCAGTAGAAATACATTTCGATCGGACTACTAAGCTAAATATTCATAATGTTGGAGTACCTCCATTGCAATTTACCCATTCCCTATGTTCAGCCTCATGCCTGCAGGACAAAGCCCAACCCTTTGGCAGGGCACAAGGGTCCGTCCAGGCCTCTGCCTCTTGAGCTTTGCTTCTTGCCTCTGCCTTCCAACCACGTGCGAAATGCTTGCAGTTCCCCTAACACTCCGCTTCTGTACTCCCACGGGCCTTGACACATGTTGCCCCTGGGCACATAAACCACCTCCTGGAATCAGCTCAGACCACTTCTGGGAAGCATCCCTGAGCAGGCCCCTCCAAGTTCTCCCTCTGTTTCCAACTCATTCCTAGTTATGGTGTTTGACATCCCTACAAGTCAGTTTCTTGAGGGCTGGACCCGTCTTTTCACCTTTCATCTCTCTTTTCCTGTTGCCTAGTCCCAAGGAGGTGCTCAGTCAATGTCTGCTGAACATGCCAATCAAAGAGGCAAGGATAAAAATATGAAAGTTCTCGCACTATCTATGCTTTGTGGGGATAATGACATGACTGCAATCTGCCCAGCCCGTTTG